ACTGATGCTTACCCTTTGGTTGCTTGGTGAAGCGGCAATACCTAATTATCCTGGGAAGTGGTGGAATGAGGTCACCATCCTGAGGGAATGGAGTTGGGGAAATTCAGACTTGGATAGTGGTAAGCAAGGAAGGAGGACATGGTCAGCTGGGGTTGTGAATCTGTGGTGTATCGAGCTGTGTCGCTGAGTGAGGAGAAGGCTTAGGCTTAGAGAAGCAGGGGGAAGAGAATGAATGAAGAAGGATGTTTGGTCTTCTTTTACGAAAGGAAGGGAAAAGCCAGAAGTTAAGCCTGGTCAGTTTGAAAGCTGTCTTCTCTACCCTGTAGGTCCTTGAAGCAGGTATCCAGCCTATGAGAATTGGTGGCATGCAATAATAATAATGATATAATAATAATAATAATAATAACAACAACAACAACGAGCATTTACTGTGCATTGTCTGGTATGTGCTGTGTGTGCTGGTGTTTTATTTAACCTGCCCAACAGCTCAGGGAGGCAGGTGGAATTGCAGTCCCTGTTTTCAAGGAGAGATAGCTGAAGTTTATAGAGGCCTATCAAATTCATGTCACACAATTAAATAGATGGTAGAGCATGGATATGAACTCCTGTTTGTCTAACTTCAAAGCCTCTGCTCAGTACTGTGTTCTTACATGCTATATGGACGTAGGCAAGCCATTTAATCCCTTTGAAGCTCTCTTTTTCCCATCTGTAAAAATCTGATAGTGGTGAAGACCGGTAAATGCCTCCCAAAGTCCCTGACTTACTGTTGGTGTCCCCTAAGTAGTCCTAATTACTTTTTCTGGGTCATTCCTTTCTTAGGGCAAAAAAGACTCCGTGAGAGGAACTCCCTCTCTAAAATGACTGAAGAAAAGTCACCTTTGGGTATTTTCTAGTCAAAGTAAAATGGAGGAAGCCTGTGATGTCTATTTCTCTTACATCTTCCACACCACACACACACTCACAGAGAAAGAGGGAGAGAGAGAGAAAGAGAGAGAGAGAGGAAGTTCACCCATCTGCATTAGTAAACAGAAGCGCAGAGGTAGTTCCAACATGTGCAGCCATGTATGCTTGCAATTTAAGGGAGACCACAAAGCAGTGTTTTTAAAGAAGCATACAGTTATAGTTAAGTTTATGGAAAATTGGACAGCAGTACTGAAAAATGCATTTAAAGATCAAAAGAGAAGCATTTGCTTGTGATTAGTTTGATTTATACTGAACTTGACCCAGGAGCCTCCCACAGCTGCTTCTTCCTACACATTGTGCATTTATGAAATACATACATACACACTTAAGGCTGTCATATAATATGTACGAGATTTACTGATGACAGAAAGTTATTCCTGCTTCAAACAAATGCAAGCTATTTAGACTTACAAAAACAAAAGAAACATGAACTATGCAAATAACGAGTGACCTTGTAGTTTTTCCTTAGTTTCTCACAGTTCATAATATGCTACATCCTACACAATTAATGGGGAAAAAATTATCTTTTTGATGAATGCATGGCTTGAGAAAGTGGTTCTGGGGATAAGTTAAGCTCATAGGAGTATTCAGTGAGATGCCATCTTTAACAAGTCTTAAAGTATGTTTTTATGCATTGGGCCTTTCCCACTATATATAGAGCATTGCTTCAGGCTCTTCATGCTCTTTAGTTTAAATTGTGTGAGTAGAAAGCCTGAGTCTTGAATAATAAAAATGGCTGGAGATTCAGAAAAGATGTTACTGTCAAAAGCCCAAGACAATATTACTAAGCTCAAAAAACTGTAGACAAAAATGAGTTTGCTTGACAGTTTAAAAAATATGAAAGATTGTACAGATGACAATGAGTATGTGTTTCTATTCCTGATAATTGGTTAAGAAAGGGTTGAGATTAAATACTACTTAATCTTTAGGATTGGAGCTATACCTCTATGCAGATAGCTTACAGATACATAAGCTTTTAAAACTGGAAGAGACCATAGGAAGACATTTGAGATCATCTAGTACAGTGCCCATATTTCTCAGATTAGTAATCTGAGGTCAAGAGAACAGTAATAACAGCTAATATTTATTGAGCTATAATCTCACATAATCATTATTAACAACCCTATCAATAAGTCACATAGAAAGCGGTGGTATTGCTGGCTTTAGGAACTCTTTTCTTTTAAATATCTTTCACAATTGAAATAATTTAGTTCTGTATATTAGAGCAGAACAGTGAGCATTGCTGTTATTAAATTAAATGATTTTTTAAATATCTAAATTAATAAAAATAAATACGAATTACTAAAAGAGGGTCCATACCTATTATTTAATATAAATATATTATTTAATATATTATTAATATAATAATTAATATTTAATAGTCATGCACTGCTTAACGAGGGAGATCTGTTCTGAGAAATGCCACGTTAAGCGATTTTGTCATTGGAAGAACATCATAGAGTGCACTTGCACCAACCTAGATGGTACTGCCAACTGTACACGTAGGCTATAGGGTATAGCCCATTGCTCCTGTTACTGTACAAAACAACACAAGATTAAATCAAGCACAGGAGAAAGTGATGCAATCAAGAGATGTGGTCAAGATGAGATATGTAAGGCTGCTACTGATATAACATGGCATGCTGTTTTACAGCAAGTTTTTTGTTAAGGAGAAAGACTACACTGTAAAATAACAATTAAAAGTGTAGTGTAAACAAACCAGTATGATGGTCGTTTATGAATCATTATCAAGTATTATGTACTATACATACTTGTGTGTACTATACTGTTGTAAGACTGGCAGTGCAGTTGGTTTGTTTACACCAGCATCACCACAAACACGTGAGTAATGAATGCATTGGGAGGCGATGTTATGATGGCTGTGACATCACTAGGCGATAAGAATTTTTCAGCTCCATTATAATCTTATGGGACCACCATCCTGTATGCTGTCCATGGTTGACCAAAATGTCGATATATGGTGCATGACCGTAGCAAAACCATGTCATTTAATATATGTATTGTTAATTTTAAAGACTTTTTCCTAACTCCCAATTACATGTGCACACATTACTTTTATTGTTTAATAAATATATCTGCTGATACAGTACTTAAACATGTATGTGATAAAGCTCTATCTGAATTATTTTCTTTTTGATCCTGTGATCCTGAAATCCAATTCACTAATTTTCATTGAATTTAGGAAGTACTTTGTCAGTCATACAATATCTATATATATAATAGAAGGTGTGTATATGTGTACATTATAATGTAGTTATGTTGATAAATTTTATATGTGTTGAATTTTGATCTTGTTACTCTGGAAATTTTATTTTTTTAATGTGAACATTTCATTAACGTCTTTGACCTTCAAATACTTGGGTAGCTGAGACGAGTTGTTTTGTTTGTTTCTATTATAGCAAAGATGAAAACAAAATCATTGACATAGAGAATGTTTCATTTGAAAGGTTTAAAAGTTTTTTTACTGTTGGGTCTGTTAGATTTTACATATCCTTGCTCAACTAGATATTTTTTCTTCTAATTTCAAGAACTGTGTCATTACTTGATAGTTATATATCTTAGAATGAAATAAATTTCAAATTACATAAAATTTTAGTTTTCATTAATGTTGCAATTTAAAACAAACCATAGATTTTACCAGTGTTAAGTAATAAGTATGTGACATCCATTCATTCAGCATGTATTTCGTGATGGTCTGTGGTGTGTCAGACACACTTCTAGCATTAGGGTCCACTGGGGAGGAAACACAGACATAGATCTAGCGGTCAGTACTATTTTCTTGATATTAGATCCAAATACTTGTTCTTGTGTACTTGGATGGTCTGCCTTGGTCATTATTTTTAAGGGACGACTTTGGCAACTGATGGTAATCAAAACGTAACTGAACATCCAAGAGCCATTGTATTTATTGCTTTGCTTCCACACTATGAACTCCAGCACTCAATTGTTCAGTTGGCTGAGGGATATATATTTTTTTAATCAAAAAGTAATTTTTGTAAAATGTACATTTACAGTGTTGTGCAGTTATCACTATTCATTTTCAGAATTTTTTATCATCATAAATAGAAGCTATAAAATCTTTGGTTTTAAGTACTAGAGGAATACTGGTTATTTTCTTTCTTTTGTGGGTCTAATCTTACCTATTTTACAACAACCCAATATTCAGTATGATCTACTTGTGCTTATTAAATTTAGAGCTTGTCATTTGAATTTGAGTGGTTTCTTTCTATATGTGCTTGTTCCTAGGTATCGTTTAAAATTGTATCTTTCATTTTACTGCAATTTTAAATTTGCTTCTTTTGAAGCAATAAAACATGTAGACATGAAGTTTGAAGGATATCAAACTGACTAATGTAGACACATAGAAAATTTTACAGAAAAGGGAATAAAGTTCGGGGATTAAAAGACGGTGGTACAGAAAAAAAGCCTGACAGTCGCAGACAAGCTAGTTTCCGCCCTGCCTGCTAACCGCCTGGAACAGGAAACACATCGAGCAGAAAAGATATTTGGGCCCGTGATCTAAAAGAATTCAGTCCCCCAAACACTGGGTATGAATTGGATTGAACAAGACTGGTTGTTCAATAGATCCTCCATCTGTATTACTTATTGTGCTCAGACAAAAATACAGCTGTTTAAAGAGTTTTAGAAATTATTCCTAAAAGAGTATTAAATACCCTATTCAAATTACATTCTTTGCCTTCTGCTAAAATGTAGTTTCCTTGGCTACTTCTCTTCCGCATTTGTAACAATCATGCTACTGTTACACAATAAAGAAATGGAGAAATGATCAGGGAACCTCTCTCAGCAAATTGTTTTAGTTTTATAGAGCAAATAAGAATTTAAGAAAATAAATGTGAATGTCATTAGAATTTTGACTTTACCTGTTAAATAAGATAATTTTTACCACTTTGTCCAATAGTATATTCATATACTTTAGATATGAGCAAAAGTTTAATTTTCATCTGTGTTTATTATTCATTTTTTTAACACTTCTAATGAAATCTGTTTGTTGGCAGCTGAAAGATGGCGGCAAAGCATCCCAGGCAAATGTGAGAATAGGTGATGTGGTTCTCAGCATCGATGGGATAAGTGCCAATGGAATGACTCATCTGGAAGCCCAGAACAAGATTAAGGGTTGCACAGGCTCTTTGAATATGACTCTGCAAAGGTAAATCACTTTTTGTTCAGCTCTGAGAGAGAAAACAACACTGCAGTATGTTTCTGTGTGTGATTCATGGTGTTAACTAAAAAGCAGTTTCTACCACCCTTGTTTCAGATAGATAAATAAGAAATATAATGGCTCCTAAATTGGGTAATCAAACAGTATACGAATTGGTGAACGCTTTGGATTATTTCTCCACAAAAAGGCATGTATTCGCATACTCAAAAAAACTGTGTCTACAGCTTCCGTGAGTTTAAGAATTTCTGAAATTTCTCAGTGGAGTGCAGGCTAAGAATTCTTATCATAGGGGAAAACTCTGCCTTAATATTCTGGGCACTATATTAGAGGGTATTCTTTTAAGGTATGATTTGGCTTTTCTTAGTATGTCCTTTCCCTTTTTTTTCCTGGGTAGAAAAATAATTTTTTAATATACTCGTATGAAGGTCAGATTTTCTGAACTTCCTGTTTTTTAATGTTACCCAGCCTCATTTATAAAATACCTAATCATCTCAGGCATTTTGAACATCCCAACGTTTGACCTACACTGAAATCATGTGATTGCTTGTTAAAAGTACTGATAGGAATCAGAATATTGGGAAGAACCGAGAATTATATTTTAATAAGTTCCCTGTGATTATTATGAATAATAAAGTTAGAACCACTGCAGTATCTTGCTTGGGCTGAGGTGAAGGGAGTAGAAAAGGAATGACGAGAGGGTGATTGAGTGATAGCTCTGAACCTTTAGGTTTATAGGGAAGGTAGCTATCATTTACCAGGTAGGTTTGAAACAAGTCTTGTTTTTAATGATTACAGAAATGTTCTATATTGTATAAAATTTGGAAAACACCATTTCCCCCCAAAACGTCTCATAGTCTTTCATAAATTATTGTGTGTATTGTAAATCTTTAAGAGGGGGAACAACATATGTGGTACCTTCCAAACATATTTGGCTATGGAACCTTTTTTTCCTGGAGTATCTCCTGGGACTATTTAAAGGACATATAGAGGATAAATTAGATGTACTTGTGCGGAGGAGTATTGATTTGGTCTTAGAACTGAATAGTAAAACTTTTATGAAGTTAGACTTACACATTTACTTTGATGTATCATGACTTGCTAACCAGTTCGCCCTTTTTTTCCCTTGGGAGAAATTCCTTTCAGTGGGACTGTTAAGTCAAAGATTATGTGTATTTAAATTTTGATAAGTGTTAGTGATACATTTTAATGCATATAAAAGTAATCAGGGAGAAAAATAAGCTTGCTAAAAAGTTTCAATTTGATAGTATTATATCCTTTCTGCCTATAAATAAAAATGAGTACTTTCATTTATTACTCATTTTTATTTATTGGCATTTTTACTAAGTATGATTTTTTCAAAGAGAACCAAGAAGTCAAGAAGCTCAACGTGTGTGAGATATCAACAAAACAAAACAAATGCAGATAATGATGGGCTTCCTCAAATTCTAACGTTGAAAGTTGATGTAGCCTATCAGCTCATTTCCTGGGCTGTACATCATTTCTTTAATACCCGCCTACTTGTTTTCACGTTATGCTCCCTATTTTATGACCCAGGACCCAGTATCTTATTTTCTATTGAAAGCACTTCTGGGTTGAATAAGAACAGATGAAAACAGAGGCTACCCAGTTTGGATGCATTTCCATTGTTAGTAATCTGTAACTGCCCCCAACAAAGATACTTTTAAGCTACTTCAATTCAAAATGTAACAAACCAACTAGTTGTAAACATTTGGAGATACTATTTAATCTTGTCTTCATATTTCTGAACACTTATATTCAGGAACCCAAAATATGAGAGAGAACTTTAGAGTCCTGTGATTATTCATTGTAATTCTCTCAGGTTTTTGAACACTTCTCGTGTTAGGTAATGTCAGCCTGAAAAGAGATTTGCATTTAAGAAAATTGATGATATAATGTTGACAATGCTACTGAAGAACTTTTTGCCTTTTAAGGAAAAAATAAAACTTTGCAGTGTTATCTTCAATTCTCCCTTATGCTAAGGCCATTCTCTTCTTAAGTTCTCTTTCTTTCTCATATCAAAGCAAGTATTTTTTCTTCCACTTATTTCTGAATTTCAACAGTAGCATCCTTAATTGGCTTGCAGTCACCTTACCCTCTTTAGCCCAACTATCTCCAACCAAATTGTTCTGAGTTTTCCTTCCAATATGAGTTACCTACAACAGTACTTTCTCTGTGTAACTCTTTTCCTTATAAACATATAGTTTTCTTCATGAATGTGTAGTCCTTTTCTTTACAGACTTGCCTTAGTCTGATTTCCCTAGAAGCAGAACCTGAAAGGGGATTCATGTGCGAGTGATTAGCAAAGGGAGTTCTTTGGAATGTTACTTAAAGAGAGTGAGTGCAGCAGGACTGGGAAGAAGAAAACATGGAGATGAGCAAGGATGTGGTTTCAGGAGTTGTCTAGCCTCAGCTAGATCCAAGAGGGAACTTAGGAACAAAATTGTGCCGTTGCGTCGGTCCTGCATTGAAGTAAGGGAACTGGGCTTTTGTCCACGCCTCTTCCCTGCATTTATTAGTGATTGGCCACCAGCTGTCCTGTGTGTGTGTGTGTGTGTGTGTGTGTGTGTGTGTGTACGCATAGGAGGGCTAGGAGGTAGCTTCTGTTGCTTTCACAGCAAGTTGCTGGTGTGAACCATTAGGGAGCACCTCAGGGATGGGTGTACCAAGTCGGGAGAAGGGTGCCAGAGGTCTCAGGCTGGGCACCAGGAGCAGGTGCTTTGAGATTCCATCCAGACTTGAGTCTGTGTTCGGAGGATTGAGTTCTCTGTGACTTAGGTCCACTCACATTGTCCTCCCATGGTCATCACTACTCAAAGGTGAATACCATCTTTCCATTTAAGATAGGTTTCTTTCTGCCCCTCACATGCCTTCATGTCCTCTCATGAAATTCTCTTCATCTAGAATGCCTGCCCACCTCTGCGCTGCCAGTAAATGTCTCCATACACACAAACTCCAAATTGAGCTCATCATCTACATACAGTTTTTTTTTTAAGTGGTGAAAGAGCAGTTTGTTAGAAGACACAGTACACGTCAAAGAGGTAGAAGTGGGCCCAAGTAGAAGGCAGTCTTTTCTTATTGTTGCAACTGACTCATTTTTTTGTCTCTGAACTCCTATGACAAGTTTCTATCATTCCATTCAGCATTTAAATATATACCAAGAATAACAAGGCTGATTCCATGAGTTATATCCAAATAAACCTAATTAGTTAATGGTCATACCTAATACTGCCTATGTAACTAACAACTCAGTATATATTAGTTCTGTTTCTTCAACCAGATTCCTTGAACATAGAGACTATGTTTTTTTGAACTAGTTGTACAGTTTTGAGTTTTTAGTGTCTAATAAATATTTGTTGGGTACCCACATTATTTTCTAAACTTGGCATCATTTATTCCACAAGTATTTTTTGAGCTCTTGCTATGGGCCAGGCATTGTTATAGATGCTGGGAACATAGCAGTGAACAAAACAGATAAAAATCCCCGCCCTCATAGTGCTGACTTTTTAGTGAGCAGAGGCATATGAGAAGTTAGAAAAAAAATGTACAGTGTATCATGTGGTGGTAAGTGTTATGGACCAAAAAAAGCATGGAAAGGGGATAGGAATGCAGGGGTAGGGAATTGCAATTGCAAATAGAGTGGTGAGGAAAGCCTCAGTGAGGAGGTTGTTGGACATCTGGGTTATGAGTGTCCCGGGCAGAGGGAAGAGCCGGTGCCGTGGCCCAGTCAGGAAGGTCAGTGTGCTGGAGAGGGAGTGAAGGCCGACTGGGAAGAAGTGAGGTCAGAGAGGTAGCAGGAAATGGGTCCAAGTGGGACAGACTTGTAAGGCTTTGTGGGTCACTCACTGTCATGTTTGTAATCAAATTTCAGTTTTCCTGGGCCTATAAAAAATTGTGAGAAAGACTTGGAGAGCTGCAGCTGCTTGGCTGGGTCTATAGCAGGGTTTGAGAAAGAGAAATGACTTCATGATTGGAACAAAGGGCTTGAAGAAGGAGCAGACTGAGCCTCTCCCCAGTCTGATAGTGGCAGCTCTGCCTTTTCCTGTAGAAACACTGGGTGATTACCACTTCTGCCAACTTTCTGCCCACCTCCACCCAAGATTCCTTAGGGGGAGAATGTAAGAGAGAAGACCCGTTTTTAAGAAAAAAAAGGAAAAAAAACAACAACACCACCCATTTTGTTTTTCGAAGTGAATGTTAACAGCAATTTTGTTTTGTGAAATTTTTTTCATTATTATTATGTATCTGTTCATTATAATGTGTGTGTGTGTGTGTGTGTGTGTGTGTGTGTGTGTGTGTGTGTGTGTATTCTCTTTTTTAGGCCCAACCTCAATATCCTAAAATAGGATTTAGATAAGAAAAAGTAAAATAAAGATACTTGCTTGATTAAGGTCATTTTGTAACTGGGTGTTTTGTTGTTTGTTGTTTTTTTTTCTATCTAGTCTAACTTGGGGGTATGTAATAAAGCAAACATCTCTCTCTCTGAGATATCCTAAAACAATAAGGCTTGATTCACACTATACTCTGGATATCTAATGAATACAGAGGTCTTGAAAATTTTATTTTGATTTGTCTTTTATCCTTGAAAAGGATTTGAAATAAGGTTTTTCTGCAACTGGAAGTGATTGTAAGTACTGCAAATGGACAATGAAAAATTCTATTTGAAATTATTTTTCCACTTGGGGAAATTAGGCATATAGCAGTGTGCTTATTTTTAGATATCAAGACCATTTTGCTTATGCTTTTGATCCATGTCAAAGTGGGTCATTTTAAAAATTATGCTATTTCAGCTAATAATAGAAGAAAATTACTTTTTAAAGTTTTGATGTCTAATAACTATTAACTATATTAGAGTTGGATTGTATGAATAAAATTTTTAACTATTTTATTTTAATAATTTTCTGTACAACAGATAAACTTGCTACTAACTTACTGTATGAATTAGGGCAAGTTGCTAAACTTCTTGACTA